CTTGCAGGAAGAATATTTGATAATGACATTCATTCTATTGATTCCCAACCTTTATCAGTATTAGCAGAAAAAATGATTGGTATTTTAGAAAATGGATTACATGAAGGAGTAGTTTATGCAATGTGGGATCTTTATTTATTAATATCAAATTTACAAAATGATGTTTCTTGTCTTTTTAAAAGAGTAATAAATGCTACTATTTCTGTGTACAATAAAAATGTTTTGATGAAGCCTGTTGTTTTAAAAAAGAATATTGTTGTTATTTTAACAACAATTGGAGGATTAAATCCTTCATTAATAATTCCTTATTTACCAATTATTACAAGTGAAGATTTATTACCTCATGTTATTTCTATTCCAAATGAATCAACTCGTTTTAATGTTTTAAGGCTTATTGGTCTTTTAATATCTACTGCACCACAACAATGTGAACGAAATATTTCATGTATTTCTCAAGTTTTTAGTAGTGCATTAAAGATGTTTCCACATTTAAATGATATCTGGATTAAAATTCAACAGTCTTTCATTCATTGATCAATTCAATAATTAAATTTCTCAAATTCTTTTTTTTTGTTTTTCTTTTTTTTTGTTTTTCTTTAAAATAACCTTTTCTTTGAACTAAATGCATAAAATTAATTCATTGCTTCCAAATCAATACTGAAATACCTAAAATAATGCAACTTAAAGAAATCCAAGCTGATGCCCGTTCTCCCAGACGTGCTGCTTTCCACATTAAACCTGGTACTCCTTCTTTTTTTCCATCCATAAAACTTCTAACAAATCCAATATTTAATCTAAGATATGTGCATGTACAAATGAATAAAAGAATTACTACAATCATTGATTGAAAATTAAATAAAGCAGTCTATAAATGAGTTTATTTAACTTATTTTCATTAATTACTTAAAAAAAAACACAAAAGCCATTCAAACCATTTGTTCTTTATTATATTTTTTTTTTTTAGTTTTTTCCCCCGAATTTTTTAAAATTTTTTAATTTTTAAAAATAAATATCTTTTTTTTTTAAATTATTCAATCAAAAAATTGTTTTTTAGGTATTTCTTGAACTAATTCATTTGGTGATGGAGATTTACATATAGTTAATGAATAATTTTTTAAAATTTCATATTCAGCAATGCATTTATTCAATGATTTTCCTAATTGTAATTGATTTTTAATTAATCGGAAGATACTAAAAGGAAGTGAGTTATAATCAAAGTTATAAGACTCGTATTGAAAAGGAGTTTTAAGAGAATGAATGATAGAAGTTGATAATTCTTTTGTATTACCAGATAAATAAGATTTTGTTAACACATTATTAAGTTCATGAAGATGTTTTAATCCACTAAAACAAAGAGTTGTTTGAAGAAATGGAATATGACTAGTAAATTTCATTATTTCATTTTCCATATTCCATAAAAGACGCGTAAGAGGTAAACAAAAATTAGCAATTGATTCATTAATATACATTACTTCAATTCTATGTTTTTGTAATATACTTTCATCTATATATTCTTTATAACTTTCACATAGAATAAGTAATGCTTGTCGTTTTTCCATATTATTTTCTCTTTTCTTTTGAATATTTTTAATAAGTGATTTTAAAATCCATTCATTTAGTGCTTTTTTGGTTATTCCAAATTGATTTTGAATAAAATAATGTACTTCTGGAAAAAGTAATTTTAATTGTTGAATTATTTCTATTGGACAACAACATAATGTTGGTACTAATCTTCCTTCTAAATCTACACCAATAAATAATGGAGAACATCTTGATTCTCTTGTTAATTTATTTCCTCCAATTTGAGAACATCCAACAATATCTCCACATCCAATTAAGTTCATTCCAAATTCATCACAAAGAAATACATAAGATGGATCAAATCGTTGAATAACACTTTCCCATTTTTCCATAAATTCATTAATTTCATTATCATTTGGAAAAGGAGGATTTATAGAATGAAGTAATGTTCTATCATAATATTGACAATTATCATTCCAATTATCATTATATTCTTCATAAAACAATTTAATAGTGTCATAAGGAATAATAATATTTCTTTGAGAAAGAGATTTTAATTTTAATTCTATTGGAGATTCTTGTCCATCAGAATCTAAATCAATTATTTTTAACGTTGTTTCTTTCTTTTTTAATCGTTTGTTTATTGATAATTCATTAATATTATTATGAATAAATGTATTAAAAAAACTATCAGCATTTTGTATCATTGAAGTTGTTAAATCTTCACCATTTAAAAAACAAATTGAATAACTTTCAAACAATTTTTTAAATTCTTGAGATTTAATGAACATTTCGATAATTTGTTGAATAACACTTTTCTTTATTTGTTTAATAAAATTTTTTTGACATGGAACGTCTTTATTAAAACGTGTTCCAAATAATAAAAATAGTGAATTGATAGGATCAGAATTGTCTAATATTCCATATGGAATATAAAATACTTTAATATAATTACTATTTATTTCTTTTTGAATTGTGTCAAACAAAGAATGATAATATTCATTGGCAACTATTAATGCTTCAGTTTTATTATATTGATATAATGAATAATTTATTGTTGATATTAATTCTGCTTTAATCCAATATAAAATATCATTATTTAATAATGACTCTATTTTAGATTCTATTTTATACCCATTTTTACTTATTCCATAATCATATATATCATCCTTTTGTTCATTTACAATATATAGTGGTTTTAAAAATATTCCATTTGCATTCCCTCCAAATAAACAATTTGATATTTTTGATTCTCTATCAAGATATGCTATCGGATTCCCTGCAAAACAACTCATTTGTAATTCATCATATAATTGATATCCTATTTCATCAAAAAAGAATATACAATTTCTATCATATTTCATTGATATTTGTTTTAACATCATTCTTGTTTTTTTAACTTCTTCTAATGAAGATATTCCTACTACTACTTTTCTTTTTTTATTAGTTAATCCAATTGTTTGAAGTTGTTGCATAATTGCTTCATTATCAAAATTCAATTTATTCTCTTTAATAAATGAGTTGATAGTTTCATCAAAAATTGCAATATTCTTTTCACGTAAAGTTAAACTAAATGATGATAGTTCATCCATCTTATTCTCTTTTTTTTTCCAGTTTTTTATTATTTTTTCTTTTTTTTATTTTTCTTTTGTTCTTTTGATATTCTGTTGTTAATTCATCATATGTTATTTATCTTATTTATTCAAATGTATTTAAAAATTTCATTTCACGTAAATAATAACATGCAATGACTATTATTTTTAAATGGTCAATTAATAAAATTATTATTAGTTTATTCTTTTACTATTTGTATCATCATTTTTTTTATTAAAAAAAATTATTATGTCAATGTCTGTCTATTCTATAATATTATAAAAACTTGTTATAGACATAGACTAATAGATAAAATTATAAGTTAGCATTAACTCAAATAATAAATTATAAAAGTGATTGTTGGAAATAAGTCCAATATTAATGTATTTCATATTTTTAATACAATTGAGAATATTACATTACCGAATAATTATTATTCTACTCGTTAACAAAATAGGATAATAAACATTTCACCAATAAGATAATAATTCTTGAAAGGAACTTAATCGGGAATTAAAATAAAGAAATAAAAGAATCTAATTTCATAAAATATTTCATAAACTCTTTAAAACTTTCTTTAATTTCATACACTTAAAGTTTAATAATTGAGATAATATGATTTTCAATATTTCAAAATAAACAGTAAAGTAATATACACATATTTTTTACTTTTGTTTATTTGTTTTATTTATTTCTTTTAAACACTCACTCTTTTATTTTCTATTCATAAAAAAAGGATATATCCAAATAATTAGTCTGATAATTTACATATTTATTGTTTCTTTTTTCGATTTGATACATTAATTTATGTTATTTTAAACTATTGTTTATTTTAAACTTGTTTTATTCTTTCTTTATAATGAGTTAGTATTATAATTAATATGGAAAATAATGGTTTTTCATTCTACTCAAAATTTTATTGTTTATTCGTGAGACATTTTACTGTGGTAGCAGTGGGAATAGAATTAATTTATTTTTCCATAATTATTTCTGTTTTATTTTATTTTTTGTGTTTATTTCTGTCTTCCTCATACTATTACTTGTTCAATTCAAAGAATTATCTGCATCATTTCATTATTACAGATAGGTAATACAATACCTCCGTTATCATATGTAGTCTTGTTTATTAATCACTGATAAACATGATAATTTGATTGCTACTCTTCATACAATTAACTTTTATTATGTTGTTTGAACTTTTTAATAACACCAATTAATTCTTTCCACTACGTTCTTGTTATTTTACTACTTCATTCTGTATCTTTAATTTTTAGGATAATGACTCAACCACTATTTGTTTAATGGTTGTGTTTTTATTAATTTGGATGATGAATAAATAATGTATTAAGAGAACTAGACAACCCCAGACTAGTAAATTGACAAGAGCCTTATTAAGTTGTAAGAGATTATTTTATCACATCTATTTTTAAACAAGACACAAAAAAAAACAACGTAGAAAAAAACTTTTAGGTATTATTATGTGTATTATTATGAAAGAATCAGCAACTTAAGTAAAGATAAGTTAAGAACAAATTTTAATAAGTATTTATCATTATTCATTCTCTCATAAATATAATTAAACAAATAAAAAATAATTGTTTTAATCTGAATAAGGAAGATAACCTATGTTTATTTATTTAAATAAAAGTATTTATTTATGAATAAGGTTGAATCAATAAGTATTTAGAATAAATTCAAATTTATTCAATCTCTCTCATTGGATAAATCGTTTAAACAAACGAAAAGAAATAAGTGGTTTATTTGAAAAAAGAAACACAGTTCAATTGGTTACAAAGTGAATAAATAATTCATTTTCATGAAATGGTGTGTTGAAGTCATTTTAAAATATGATAGAAAATACCAATCAATTAAAATTATGCTATTAACTAATGAAGAGGTCGTATTTCTGTATGTTCAATCTGTGAATTAATCCACATAGGCCATTCACAAATTGGAATGCCTTCTGCTTCCATATCAACATAAAAATCTGTTAAATTTGTATTTTTATTAGAATTAGATGCATTCATTAATTTGACTCCAAGTGCAACATAATTAAATAACAACTTACGTGTTTCAGTTGTTAATAAACTCTTTTCATTTTCATTTAATCGTTTGATTTTAGAAGTTAATTCTTCTTGAAGTGCTTTATTTTTTATCTTTTCCTCATTTAGTAACTTACTTAGATTAACTACATTATTGTCAAGATCTTCTATCCTTGTTTTCATTTCAAAAATGGTTGTTGAAGAATCTATTGAAGGAATACTTTTTCTTTGTTGTTGATTAGTTTTTATTTGTGAGTTGAGTTGGTTATTTTCAAGTGAAAGAACATTTATTTTTTGTTGCAAATTATTTATTTCTTCTTGTTTCTTTTTTTGTTCTTCTTCGTTTGTTGTTTTAACTTGACTTAATTGTTGTTTTAATTCTTGAGTGGTTATTTTCATTTCTTCATTGGCTTTTCTAAATTCTTCTTTTTCATCTTGTAATTTTTGACCTTTTTCTTTATTTTCTCCAATTTCCTTTTGTAATGCTCCTTCTTTTATTTTTAATTCTTCAAGAATCTTTTTTAATTCTTCATTTTCTGTAATAACTTTCTGATTCATTTCTTTAATTTCATTCAATTCCTTAATTTGTTCTTCATTTATTCTGTCTTTTTGGTTATTCTTTTTTTCATTTTCTAATTCTTCATGAAGATTTTTAATTTCATTATCTTTTTTCATTATTTCTTCTTTAGCCTTCTGAATAGAATTAATAATTAAAACCTTCATTTGATTAATTTCTTGATTTAACTCCATAACTTCTTTTATTTTCTTTTCATAATTTGCTTGGCGTAGTTTTGTCTCCAATTCTGTTCTCATCATTTCTCTAAGTAATCCATCAAGTAATTGTTCTCTATTAGTTTTTTCTTTTTGAATTTCAGCAACTATAACAAAACTCTGTGAAAGAATTTTATTAAGTTCTTCTTCTGATTTTTCAAGTCCTTTAATATTTGTTCCTATCAAAGTTTCCTTTTCTGAAACAATTCCATTTAATCGTTTAATGACACTATCCTTTTCATTAATCGTTGTGTTAAGTGATTCAATATTTTTGTTTAATTCTCCTATTTTGTTATTCATTCTTTCTTTTTCATTTTTCAATTTCTCATAATTTTCTTTGGCAATGGATAATTCATAGTTTTTATCATCTCTTTCTTTTTTTACATTCATAAGTTCATCTTTAATTTTCTCTTCATTTTCAATTCCATTATGCTTCTCTTCCTTTAATTCTTTTAATTTTTGTTCAATTTCTTCTTTTTCTCTTATTATTGTTTCATTTAATGTTGTTAACTCTTCAACTTGTTTCTGATAATTCTCAACTTCAAAACTTTTATCTTCAGCATTGTAGCAGTTTTGGACTTCTTCCCTCAACAAATCATTTTCTTCATTTACTGAATTTAATTCTTTTTGAAGTTCTTCGACTTTTTTTTGTAGCTCTTCTATTTGAGGTGGTTGTGTTTCACTTCTCTCGTTTGTTGGCTTTTCCTCCATCCTAAGATTTGTATGAAATTCTCTCATTTCCCAGATTCTTTGATATTCCAGTATTCTATTTATAGAATTCATCTTAAAAAAAAACATAAAAAAACAAATAACACAAACAAATGAGTAATTCAATTGATATGAGAAGTACTAGTGAATTAGGAGAAAAGAAACGATTTGAGTATGAACTTGATTTTCTGCAATCTCTTGCAAATCCACATTATATTCAGTGTTTGTTCTATTTCATTATTAACAAAACATTAATAAAGACAACTGATAATAAATAAGATTTGGCTTATCATAAGTATTTAAGAAAGACTGATATGATTCATTTTCTTAAATATCTTCAATATTGGAAACAACCAAATTATATTAAATTTATTCAATACCCTGCTTGTCTCTATTATTTAGAACAATTACAAAATCCTGACTTTCGTCAAGCATGTGAAAATCCCGAAATAATGAAAAATATTATTGACCAACATGAAGCTCATTTTACATATTACAAAGTTAATAGAACACCAGTTGTTCCTAAAGTTGATGAACTTAATACTACATCTAAACCAATGGATACAACTCCAAATTAACACAAATAACTTTGAAATAAAAAGAAAATGAAATAATAAAAAAAAAAGAATTGAATTAATTATTTTTGAACAACTGGTTGTTGTTGGGAATCATCTTTAATTGGTTCTTTATTATTATTATCATGAAGTTGTTTTAATTTAATTTCATAATCATTCTTATTTCTGATTAAGTCATGAACAGCAAGAACTGATTTAACTAATTGTGAGAGATAAATAGTTACCATTACATCATTTGTGTTGACTGCAAATTGTTGTGTATATTTTTCAATATTTGGTGATAAATTGAAAATGTCTTGAATGTTTTGAATAATCTTTTGGTTGACTGGAATTTTTCCTGACTCAACTAATTCTAAGTAATTTCTCATTAATTTAATTTTATCATCTAATGCTCTCAATGAATCCATTTTTAATTCAACTTCATGCTTTAAAACAGTTCCAGTAGGTTTTTGAAGGTCTCTTAATAAACGTTCTACACCAACTTCTGATTCATCAGATCCAACGTCTGTTGGAACATGAATAAATCTTAACGAAAGTTCTGGTTGAAGAAGAATATTTTCTGATGAGTCAATTGATTCTGCAGAAACATATGAATGAACTGGAAGATCATGAGATACAGTAGCCGATACATCTACTGTAAGATAAACAGGATGGGCAGTGTATTTATTGATCACAGAGTGTATCTGAATATCACATGGTTTTATTGATGAAGAAGTAGAATACCATCCAACTAATACTTCTTTTGCTGTTACTCTTTGTGTCATACGATACACTGTTTCCAAGTATTGATGATCTAAATACCAAATATTATCTTTTTCATCTTCATCAAATGGTACAGCAAACGAATTCATTACATCAACAATGCCTTTTCTTATAAATCCTAATAATACTCCAACAACACGTTTTCCTTCTTTACTAGCTCTTGTTTGATGATCTGAAATACTCAATAATACCAATGGATGTACAATAACTTTCTTTATATAACTGCTTTGAAGTGGCTCTGTCATACTCCTCTTTTTCTATTTTACAGTTTTTTTTGAAGTTTTTATTTTTCTTCTTTTTCTTCTTTGTTTTATATAACGAAAATAAAATCTAAATCAAAAAAAAATCCATCTCATTATTTTTGTTTTTATTATTGAATAAAAAACATTTTTCATTAAAAAATAATTTTGTTATTAGTGATTTGAAAAGTTATACTATTCTGATAAAGTAGAAGATTGTTTGAATGAAGTGTTTTGTATTTCTTCTTTTGCATCTGTTATATTCTTGTTCATTTACTTCTTTTTATTTTTACAATTGTTAATTCTCTAAGTGCAGAAAAGTTTTATAGTGTTGTCTTGTTGTTTGAAGAGTTGAAGTATAATTTAGTTTTCATTCATCTTGGACAATCACTGCATCACAAAATGTTAGTTTGTTTCTGACATAGTCAGAAATAAATGTCTAAATTTTATGAGCTTTGTAGTTTTATCTCGTTGTTTTGTAATATTTGTCTTTCTATTTTTGATACAATCAAGAAATGAGGTAATATTCTTCTATAACACAGTCTCTATTTCTGGAAAGGTTGTGTCAATAATACTTAATCAAATTTCCTGAAGTTTACATTTTCGATGTTTGATGAAGTTAAGATAAAGAAAAGCGAATTCTTATGAAAATAGTTGGGGTTGTTCATATTGTTATGAAGAAGATTACCGACGAAAGAACTATTTAAAGGATGGAGAAGTATGGAATAATCGAGTTGAAGAGACAATGACAATGCTTAATTTCACATATTACAATCCAGTTAGATTAATTTATGGAAAAGGGTCATTAGACGAGATAGAGAAACAACATTTAATTCCTGAAGATGCAAGAATCATGATGACATATGGAGGAGGTTCTATTAAGAAGAATGGAGTTTATGAAGAAGTCTTGAAACACATTAAGCCAATTGTAGAGTTTGGAAGAATAGAACCAAATCCATCACATGAAACATGTATTAAAGCTATTAAGATTGCT